AAGCACCGCAGGAACTCGCATGCTTTCGAACACTACTGCTCGAGACCGCAGCTGGAGAGCGGCAGACCGCAGGCTGAGAAGCACCGCGGGCAGGGAGACTTGCAAAACTCAGATGTCCTGATCGTCGTGGAGGAAGTCACGCCAGTCCGGCGGCTGCCAAGAATCGATGATGCGCCTGGAGCCACCGCCCGTGCTGCCGCCGATGTCCAGGTAGTCGCCATCGCCCCTGAACAGACGGCCGTGCCCGCACGCCAGAATCGCTTGGTTGCGGATTTGAAGCAGCGCTCCGCTCTCAAACATCTGCAACACGTCCAGCTGCCTGCGCGTGAAGTTCGGCTTTGCCTGGCCAGCCCGGGCAGACAGATGGAGGGAAAGCCGCTCCCCCTCGTTGTAGCGCGCGATGGCCTCGGCCTTCTGGTGGTGCAGCCGGCGCCGCTGTTGCCGCAGAGCTTCCTCGGGAACTGCTGCATCACGGCCCTCACTGTGATCAGCTTGCAACGCTTGCGTTAACCAATCAACGTCGAAGCGCCCTGAGAAGGCCAGCACCTCCCAGATCTGTTTAGTACCGGCCACACGTTGCAAATGGCGATGCCACCGCTTACGCTTCTGGTCTTTCACAAACTTGGCGACGCTACCCAGACCTGCACCCTTGGCCTGGCCACCTTTTCCCGCAGGCTGAGAAGCACCGTGAGAACCTTTCTTACCGCCTGGCCCTTTGTTCGGACCCTGCGGAACCGCATGGCCCCCTTGTGGCGCAGACTTGCCTTTCGCTTTTCCCTTTTCGATATCCCGTTCCTGAAGCGCACGCTGCTGCCGCGACTGCTCGTACTGGTCGCGAGCTACTCTGACCAATTCCTGGCGCTCAGGCTCCGTGAGAACGTAGCGCATGTCGTCGATGTTCTTGCTCCGCAGAAAGTCATGTCGAAGCTTAAGGACAGAGAGAATGGCTCGGCCAGTCTCCTCCTGAGACGCAAAGGCCGTGTCATATTCCGAGCCAGGCTGAGGAGCGCCAGCTGGATCAGTGTCCGCTGGCTCCGTGGACTTCCTCTTTTTGAAAAGCAAGAGACTGAGATGATGGAGGACTTTCGGATCGTACTCCTCGTCGTACCTGTCGTCCCAAAGCTGCCTCAGCTCCCTGTGCAAGTCGTCCGCGCGATTCTGAACGACATCCTCGACGTAGTCGGGATCACCCGGTGAAGTCGGTGAAAGCGGAGGAGCAGAACTCGGCGACCGATCCCAATGCACAGAAGACTCGCGGTCCGCCTGTACGCTGACGTCGGCGTCGGAGACGTTTTCGACGACAATTTTCCGCCTCTTGCTCTCCCCAGGCTGAATAGCACCAGGGAGAGTGAGCACAACCGCCACCGCATCGTGTGCGTCGTTGCGCATGCCACGATCCGTAAAAGACGCGCCAACGGCAATGGAGCAGAAACGGGCGACTGCTCCGCAGACCGCGACGTGGTCGCCTTTGAGGTCGGCCGGAGTGGCATGGACCTCCCATACCTTCTCGTCGTTCTGCTCGCGCTGGTAAGCCTCCCGCGCCTCCTGGAAAGTGAGGTTGTCGTCGCCGACTACAAGCACAACGACTGCCTCGTTTAGATTCTCAAGAATCTTGGCCAGGCCGTCCAGGTGCAAGCGGAGATGGCGAACTGTCCGCTTTCGAGTCTGGATGCTCGGCGGTTTCTTGCCGCACACGATGTGCATGTTGGCGATCACCACGTGGAACTTGTCATGGCCTGGTTTGTTCACCTCAAAATGTGAAATAACAGCATCAATATCTCGGCCGCTAGGAGGCCTGTAAACTTTGCTGTCTTCGCACAGAGTCAGTTCCGCAGGCTGAGAAGCACCGCGGAACCCCAGAGAGTCAAGTAGTTGTCGACCTCCAAGAAGCGAATGCCATCACCGAAAGGCTTACTGAGGATCTCTGTCACGTTGATCCCTGCTCGGCGAAAGCCTTCACGGAACGCACCGACCTCGCAGCCACAGACCATATCAGCATCAGCGGTCTCCACTATCTTGGCGCACAACCTTCCGAAGTTAGCGCAGTGAGTGGCCGCCTGCTTACCAGTCATCATGCCCTGCTCGAACCCGAAATTGAACGAGGCGACCGTGAAAGACGCAGGCTGCACAGCGCCAGAACCAGGCGTCTGTCCACCTTCCTCCGCAGGCTGAGAAGCACCGCGAGGCGGCGCAGGCTGAGAAGCACCGCGAGGCGGCGACACTTCGGACGAGCCTCGCGGAGCAGAGGCTGCGGATGAACGTTGGACATGGGGGTACGGCCAGGGGAACGCCATCGCAATCAAAACTCAGTGGACTGCAGTGAATGAATGTAGTGGCCAATTGAATGCAGAGGACTGCAGTGTCACTAGCAAGTCCTGAACCAAACACAGCTGTGGCGGAAGGAATATGAAGCGTCTGGCTATTCAAAATGTTGCCCGGCAATGTCCTCCTCCTCCTCCTCCTCCTCCTCCTCGTCCTCCTCCTCCTCTTCCTCCTCCTCCTCCTCCTCCTCGTCCTCCTCCTCCTCCTCCTCCTCCTGGTAGTCCTCCCCCTCCCCTCCTCCTCCTGGTAGCCCAGGAATGGGAGTTTTGGGAACTCGAAGAGCACGAAGTGGCCTACAGTTGGCTCCGGGCATTCAAAATGTGGCCCGGGAATGGAGTTCTGGGAACTCGAAGAGCACGAAGTGGCCTACAGTTGGCTCCGGGCATTCAAAATGTGGCCCGGGAATGGAGTTCTGGGAAATAGAAGAGCACGAAGTGGCCTACAGTTGGCTCCGGGCATCCAAAATGTGGCCCGGGAATGGCGTTCTGGGAACTCGAAGAGCACGAAGTGTGTGACTGTTGCATCCGGCCCCCCAGAATGTGGCCCGGGAATGGCGTTCTGGGATGTCGAAGAGCACTTTGTGTGTGACTGTTGCATCCGGCCCCCCAGAATGTGGCCTGGGAATGGAGTTCTGGGAAGGCGAAGAGCACGAAGTGTGTGACTGTTGGTGAAAAACGAGCCCGGCTCATGCCGCCCGGAAACGCCCCAACACCTGCCCGGACCCCCCTGTGGAGTGATCTGTGAGCTCTTTTGAGTCAACTAGAAACCTATCAGTCTTCGCTGTTAGGTAATCACATCGTCATCAGCGTTCGCCCACGACACTCAGCTAGCAACCATCACAGCTGGTGTCCCGATGGTGCTCCGATCGTACCCAACGCAATTCATTGTGAGATCGAGAATCGGATCGATAGTTGAATTAATCGACAATAGGGTTGGCCGTGATGTCGATAGTGAAATCGATCGATGGTGAGATCGATCGAGTGGAGTCGAAAATGGGCTCACATCGCGAGGCAGCATCGTCACCACGCGTCGTCGCCAACGCGAGGGCGCACCACCAGCATCGTCATCATCGCAGCCATCGCAGTTGTCGTCAGCTGGCTATTCCCCCCCAACCTCCTGATCACCTGAAGGGTGGTCGTATAGTCGTATAGGTAGTGGCATCAGAAGTGACATCGATAGTGAGGCTAATTGTCACACAGGTTGTCAGATCGATCGTGAGGTCGATGGTGGAATCGATGGTGGAATCGATAGTGAGATCGATAGTGAGATCGATTGCGAGAACGATAGTGATACTAAATCGCAGCGCAACATCGTTATCACGCGTCGCCGCTAACTCGAGGGCGCGTCACCAACATCACATCCATCTCACTTGCCAGCAATCGGTTCTTCTCCCCCCCCCCCAAAAAAGAACCTCCGTATCACCCGAAGGGTGGTCGTATAGGTATGTTCCATATCCTTCTTCTCTTCCTCCTCCTCCTCCTCCTCCTCCTCTTCTTACTTCATACATCGAGGCGAAGACGAGAACTAGGCCACGCCCTTCCAAATTCAAACCAATCGTCGGAATCGCGCTGTTCTTGCACTCCGTCTCCTTCCTGCTGCGCTGTGGCACAAGCACGGTGGCAGGGTTTGCCGCAGGCAGCTGGATATGTTGCACAAGGTTTTCACCTCTGGCCATGTGCTTCGAGGAAGTCTCAAGTCAGAGCCCCCATGTTGAAAAGGAGCCAGACTCAACCCGTGCAGTACGCGTTACATATGTTCAGTGCTTGTGTGCTTGTCTTCTGGATCTAATGGAATCTTGAGAGGCAGCCCCATGTTGAGAATGAGCCGTCCCCCATCCCCGTAGCTGTTGCAAATAACCGTTCTCCATCCATGTAACCGCATCAACCTTTGGAGTCGAATTTGCGCGGCCTTAAGGCGAGCGCCCCATTTTCAAAACACACGCCTCAAACCAGTGTAAGTGTTACAAGCTGCTAGCTCCTAAGACGAAAGTTCGCGGCGATTGGGCACGAATATATTCTCCATGTGCATGAAAGTCGCAAACAAAAAAGACGAATATGCGCGGCGCTAAGGCGAGAGTCCTACTTTGAAAACGGACTGTGTTCAATATGCGTAACCTACTTGGAACGCGCACTACCACGATCTGTGTAGCTGCTACAATGCTCAAGCCTCAAGATCATGAGTGGTGAAAAGGCCTCAGGCGAAATACCCGGCCCGCCCATCCGACACGTCTGGGTGCGCGACAGGAAGTTGTCGATAAGGAAAAGGGATGGACGAGGCAGGAGAAGGCAGGACAACGAGGAGAGGGAGGCAGGAGGAGGCGGAAGGACTAGGAGCCGAGGAGGGCGAGGAGGGAAGGCGGGAGGGGGAGGAGGAGCAGCGGCAGGAGGACGCGCCCCCCCTCCGCGCTCGGTGGCCGGGGCGGCGGGGGCGGCCGAGAAGCCCGCCCGTGACCGCCCGCTGAGTGCAGTGACAGATCCCCTTCGATCGCAGGCGGCCGTGGTGGAGGAGGACAGGGAATGAGAGGACACTGAAGAGGAGGAAGAGGTCATTGAATAGTACATTGCGAATGAAAATCGACGCCCGTAAATGGGGAAGGGGACGTGAAGGAGGGGAAAGGAGCGCGAGATGGGCGACGCGAGGGGGTGGGCAATCGAAGGAGAGGCGGGGGGCACTCTGTTCGCACCCTGCAGCGCTTGACCACCACTCTGTGGGCCAGTGGCGCGCCCGTCCGCTCGGCATTGGTCTCCAACTTCTCGGCCTGCCAGACGCCTGCAACATCGCGGCACTGTCCACTTTCAACGGAACTCCCCGCTCGAACATTAGCGGGCCTTTGCGGAATCTTCGCGCCCGACGCGGAGGGCCCTGCCGTGCCCAACTGGCCCGCCCACCCGGCCACGGTGGCAGAGCGTACGAAACATCATCGCGCCCAAGACGATACCGAGACACTCCCAACAGGCCCCGATGTAGCCCCAAGAAGGCCTTCGAGAGGGCCCCCCGAGGCTCCCAAAGAGGCTCTTTTGACACCCCACAATTCCAACGCAAGACCGCCCAAAAAGGACCATGGAAGGTCTGCTTCGGTAGGTTGACAATGGACTGGCGCAAGCATGTGATGTACTCAAGGGAAGGGAACGAGCAAATAGGACAGGCGCGTGGCGCGTGAGAGAGGAAGAGGGGCTCCATCCACGCGGATGCGAGATTCGTGCGTCGGCAAGAGGCGGCGGAACGAAAGACCACACGCCAAAAAGGGTATACGAATATGGCTCAGCCGCCAAAAGATCAAGGACGTCTCGGAGGCGGGCCAAGAATATGCCAAGTCGCTGTGCTGGCGCAAGACGCCCTGCGAATCCATCGACAAGGCCCACAAACAGAATACCCAGAACTCCCCGAGGCGGGATCAGGAAGAGCATCAGTGGCCTTGTTTCTGTCGCGAGGCCCCAACACGGCTGCACTCCGGGCCCTTCACGGCGAAGGGGGAGCATTGGATGCACACGCCCAGCCTACCGTTGGGCAATCGTGGCCTGCCGAGGGCAAACTGAAAGAAGAGCAACACCCTCGTCTCCCCCTTCACGGTCTTGGTCACTTTTAAGCCTCCACCGTCCTGACTGGGCTTGGCTTGAGCTGCCGCTGCGCACGGGCGTCCACGCTGTCTGTTGGCGGCGCGCAGAAGGGGGTGGAGGGAGGGGGGAAGGCTTCTTAGAAGGAGGCTGCTTCTTAGAAGGCGGCGGCCTTACATCCATACATAAGGACCGCGCCTTCTAAAAAGCAGGGGTGCTTCTAAGAAGCCTTCCCCCCTCCCCCTACCCCCTCTGCGCGTGGCCGAGTCTGTCCACGGCAAGGCGGGCGAGGCCAAGAGCCTCCGGAAAATACACACAAACATCCGCAACAAAAAACAGGACACCAAATCAAAGGAAAACGAGAGGGCGACATCTGGCCTTGCGGGCCGAGGCTCGCCCTGGCTCCCAGCTCACGCTGGCCGGTGCGGCTCCTCCAGGAGAGCCAGGAAACGACGTGAGCGTAACCTTCGGAGGTCTGCGCGGATCTCGTCGGCGCTGGACCACCTCCCTTTCCTGGCGCACGGAGCGTGCCGGTGGCGGTGCTGGAGGCGCCGCCAGGGGCGGCCCAGCGCCGAACCAAGAGGTCCGCGCAGGCCTACATTGATGCTTGTGCAGCTTGCTATTCGCACACCGTGCCCTGCGATGAGCAACGAGGGATTATCTTCACACCCTCGCACCGTCGCCCTGGAGAGGGGCACCAACACTCTCCAAAACTCAGCCGCGATTCCCGGAGCGCGGCTATCGTCGCGACCCCTCGGATGACCTAGAACTTTTCCGATCTTCGGTCCTCCTCCCCCGCGGTGCTGGCGCCGCCTGGGCCCCGGCCGACGCCCTCCGCGCCCCGCTCCGCCCAGAAGTCGAGCGACGTCGGGCCAGCTGCCGCGCCCGGGGCGGCGCCCTCCGCGGGCGCCTCCCGAGGCTGCTGCCCCCCCTCGCACGGCCCCTCCCCTGCCCGGCCACACGCCCTGGCGGGCGCGGGCACGGCCGCGGCATCGACGACGGGCGAGAGCGCCGCAGGCGGAGGCGCGGAGGGCGCGGGCGCGGCGGGCTCCTCGCCGGCAGCCTCGCCCTGGGCCTCGGGCGTGGCCGGCGTCTCACCGCCGGTGGCCGGCTCCGTCGCCGGCGTCGCAGCGCCGCTGGGGGGCTCGGCCTGGGGGGGAGGCGCCCGCCGCGGGGGCTCGAACGCGAGCTGCTTGGCCTCGGCGCCGCACGCTTGGAGGTTGGACTGGGCGTACGAGATGCTGCCGCGGCCGTCCGGGTCCAGGAGCGGCTGGCCCCCCTCGGCGAAGAGGCGGCCAGCCAGGGTGGGGTCCATGGCGGACGCCATGGCCTCCAGGTACTCTACCATGTGATGGTCCTCGAGACGGATGCAGTCGCGGGTGAGAGGGCGCCAGGGCTTGAACTCGTCACTCAGCAGGAATATGCGTGACAGGTGCACGTAGCACGCGGCTGGCCGCAGCAGGTGGGCAGCGATGTGAGGGCTCTCGAGCATCTCTTCGATCTTCGTGACGAGGCCTCCAGGGCCAGCCGCGTAGTCCACGATAGTTCGGGCTACGCTGGACATCTGCCCGCCCATCCAGCCCGTAAAATAGCCCATGAAATCCTGGAGATCCAACTCCGACCACAGGCGCGGAGCAGGGTCCCCGCCGTGTATGTACAGCACGGAGCGGGACCGCATGAAGGCGGCGAGGTCCTCCCTCACGTCGGAGCCCTGCGCGGCGCCGAGCGCCATCGGGGAGCCGAACGACACGCTGCGGCAGCAGGCCACCAGCGGCTCCTCGGTTCCAAAACACCGGCTCCCCAGACCTCCAACACAATGCTGGCTTTCTCCAAGCGCGACCTGTGGACCTATGAGAGAGCGTGATCCACCGCCGCTTTACTGTTGAAAATTGCCGCCCTTTTCCTTCGGACCCCGGGGGTCCCCCGCCCCCCCCTCCGAAAATCCCCCCCCCCCCTGCTGGACCCCCCCCACCCCCCCAACCCCCCTTCCCCCGGCAAAACCCCCCCTTTCCCCTAACCCCTCCCCCCCCCTTGGAAAAACCGGAGGGGGGTCACTACCTGTTCGAACCCCCCCCCCTCGAAAACCGGAGTATACCGCTGCTGGCGGAAATGGGGGGCGGCAAACAGGGGGGTGTCCAAGAGGGGGGGTGCAAATCATGACCGGCGGCACGTGCGCGGCCCAGCGGGGGGGCCAGGCTCCGGAAAACCGAGGGGGGTCACTACCGGTTCGACCCCCCCCCCTCTCGAAAAACGGAAGGGGGGGGTCACTACCGGTTCGAACCCCCCCCCCCTCCCACCGCCAGCAAACGACTCCCGGTCCCTACCACCGTCCTCACCACATCCCCCACTGTTGTTCCCAGCACCACTGTCCTCACCACCACTGTCCCCACTGGTTCCACCACCGCCCCTACTGTCCCCACCAGTGCCACCACCACTGTCGCACTGTCCCCACTGTCCCCACCACTGTTCCCACCACGGTTCCACTCTCCCAACTTTCTCCACGGCCCCAACCACTGCCCGACTATCCCCACTGTCCCCACTGTCCCACTGACTCCTCCGCTGTCCCACTGAGCTGTCCCACTGTTCCCACCACTGTCCCCACTGTCCCCACCACTGTCCCCACTGTACCTCTGTCCCATTGTCCCACCGCCGTCCTCGCCACCGCCTTCACCACTGTCCCCACCACCACTGTACCCTCCACTGTCCTACTGTTTCCACCACATTCCCACTGTCCCCACACCACTGTCCCCACCACCACCGTCCCCACCACTGTCCCACTGTCCCCACTGTTCCCACCATTGTCCTCACCATTGTCCCCACCACTACCGTCCCCACCACTGTCCCACTGTCCCCACCACTGTCCCGCTGTCCCCTCACCACTGTCCCCACCACCACCGTCCCCACCACTGTCCGCACCCCCCCTCGGTTTTCGAGGGGGGGGGGGGTTCGAACCGGTAGTGACCCCCCCCGGTTTTCGAGTTCGAGGGGGGGGGGGGTTCGAACCGGTAGTGACCCCCCCCCCTTTTCATGATGAAGGGGGGGGGGGGGTAAGGGGGGGGGGGGTTCGAACCGGTAGTGACCCCCCCCAGTTTTCCGGAAGGGGGGGGGTCGAACCGGTAATGACCCCCCCGGGTTTTCCGCCAGCAACGGTAGAACACGCTCTTTCGGACCTATCGACCCCTTCCCTGTGGGCCGAATCCGGCCGGACAGCCCGCAATTCGATTTCGTGCCCAGACCTCAAATTATAGCGAACTTATCCCGGAAATTTCCTCTTCTAGGTTCTGGTAAAATGTTCTGGATTAACGAGAAAGCGGCTCCGACTGCAGCCCTGGCCAAGGCAATGGTTCCTGCTCCGGCTCCGCTAGGGTTTCGTTCTCCGTGGTTGCAGTTCCAGCGTCTGATGGCTTGTTTTTTCCAATGCGGGCCCCCCTGAAGTCCCGATCCTTGCCCAATGGCCTTTCGGCGTTTCATCCTCAATCGTCTACTGTGACGGTCCTGCGGCCAGAAAACAGCCCCTGGAAGCCGAAAACTGCGAAAAACCTCCGTCTTGACGCTGGAGGTCTGGCAATGCGGAAGATCGCCGCCCGGATCCCCTCCAAGACGGCAGAAGCCCAGTACGGCCACTTAGCACCCCCACTCCGGCCCGGCCGCTGGGCAATGGCATGGGGGCAACCCGCGAGGGCCGCAGGAAGCGCCGCGGGCGCTCGAGACGGCTTTCCATCGGGCCAGACGACCTCGGGCTGCCGAGCCCGCACACGGGGCCGTGACTGATCCTGGCGATGGACCCAACCATGGGCCTTTTCCGTTCGCCAAACATACAATGTTTGTGCGTGCCAGCCTGCCGAAAGCTTCGTTCGACAATCGAATACTTCTTACACGTGTCTGCCTACCTGAGACTGGCGCCCTTTGTCGCGCGAACACGGTGGGAACTGAATACGGGCAGCTGCTGTCGCTGCCGTGAGAAAGACACGAAGCATACAAGCCAGTGCGAGGACAGCGGCATTGCCCGTCGACACAAATTACATCTGGTAGCGGTGGCTTCGGAGCCCTGCTCGCCCAATCGCCAAGGCCTTCAGCGCAGGCCGCCTCTGGCTACGGGCTCGGCCGGCAACCGCGAGCCCGCCAGGGGCAGCGCCTGCCGCGCGCCGTGGGGCGGCGGCGGCAGCGGCCGCGGGCTGGCCGACACCAGCCTCGCCGGCGCCTGCGGCGCGTGCGGCAAGTGCGGCGCCGACAGTAGCCTCGCCGGCTGCGGCGGCGGCTGCCTTGGGCGCGCCGACACCGAGAACGCCTGCGCCAGCGGTCCAGGAGCCTGCTGAAGGGCGTCGGGGATGCCGTCGCGGTTCAGGTCGGGCCCGGTCACCTGCACGCTCGCCATGGGCGGAGCTCGCGGGCTGGCGACAAACGTGGCGGCCCGCGGGTGGGCGTAGGTGGCGGCCCGCGGGATGGCGTACGTGGTGGCCCGCGGCTGGCTGCGCGCGAGCGCCTGGTTGAACTCGTTCCGATCGATGACACCGTCGTGGTTGAGGTCGATTGAGTCGAATCCGTTCATAACCTTCTCGGCTGAAGGCACCGCCGTGTAGCGAAACTGCCGCTGGGCTGGCGCCCACGGGGACCACGGCCACTGGGTGAGCGCCGTCAGCATCGGCCGCAGCGGGCCCTGCATGGGCGCCCGCAGTGTGGCCGCCGCTTGCGCGGGGAATCTCGCCGAGGCCTCGCGCGGCGGCGGATCCTCTGACAGAGAGTTGTCCACCATGAAAGAATCCGGCCGCGAATCGTCCTCCAGGCGCTCGATGCTCCTTTTCTTTCTGTCGTTCTTTGCAGAGCTCATCCCGGCCGCTGCAATCACCGCGGCCAGGCAACACAAGCCGACCAGGGCCACGACCGCCCAGAGCCACACGGGGGCGCCGGACCCGTCTGCTTGTATAGCCCCACGCTGTTCGGGTGCGGCACCCCCCAAGTCCATGTTCGCCACGGCTGTGGTGGTCTGCGTCGGTCGGCCGATCTTTTGGTACAAGAGCTCGGTGCAGTTGTCGGGGGGGCCAGACACGTGCCTGAAAATAGGGAAAACGGAGGCCGATTTCGCACCCGCGAGCGCGCACTGGAGCCCGGGCGCACCGATGGTGAAGTGCGCGCACCCCTCGGTGTCCCGGCAAAGCTGCTGACACCGGCTCATCGCCTGCAGGGGGTCCTGGTTGGCGGGGGTGACGTTGAAGCTCGTGGGCTGCACGTTTCGGAAGCCATTGTACATCGTGCTCACCTCCAGGCAACTGAACTCGACGGGCACGAAGGTGTAGTCCCCGACCCCCTTGGACCGCAGCCTGGCCATGCCGTGGCTTAGCGCATCCTCATCGTCCCTGTAGCACCGCTGCGGCCCAGAAACGAAGCCAATCCGATTCGTGTTGCGGATGGCGAACACATCCTGCAAGTGGCAGTCGCCCTGCGGCACCCAGTACGCGAAGTGCATGCACTCCGAGGTCTGCTCGCAGCGCTGCTGGCACGCTAGGGGCGTGGGCTCCCTCGTCACGTTGATGGCCCCCGCGCCGTCCTTCATGTCCAGCGGCTCGTAAGTGACGTGTTTTTCCCAGCAGTCCATGTCCGCGATGCCTTGCACCGCCCGCTCCGCCTCCGCCTGCGAGGCAGCCTCCTGCAGTGCCGGACTCAGGCGCACCTCGGCCGCGGCGCGCACGACGCCGAAGGCCAGGCAGCAACAGGCCAACCCCCGAGCGCGCCCGTACGGCATCGCGCGCCGCGCGCCGCGCGCCGCTGCGCGCGCGGCTTTGGCCCAAAGCCTATCGCCGTTGCAAGTATCGCCGTTTCGGGAATCGCCTTCGGTGGATCTCCTTCTGGAGCAACGAAGCGTGTAAAGGGTGTGCCGACATGGGGCGGGGCCGCCATGCGGGCTGCTCCTGGAGCCCAATGGGACCACGAAACGTGTGAGGGATGTGCCGACATGGGGTGGTGTGCCTTGCGGACGTCGCCTCCGGGCCGTTCGGTGGAGCTCCGCATGGGGCGACAAAACGTGTGAAGGGTGTGCCGAAATGGACGGGGGGGACGCATGTGAACGTCGACAATGGGGATTTCGGTGGGGTCCCCGGGGCCACGAAGCCCTGTGCTGGGCGGAGGAGAGATCGCAAACGTCGCCACTGGGGCCATCGGTGAAGCTCGGTATGGGCCCCCGAAGCGCTGTACTGGGTGGGGCGGACGCATGCGAGCGTCGCCGTTGAGGCCTGCGGTGGGGCTCCTGATGGGCCCACGAAGCGCTTTACTGAATGTGGCGGACGGGCGCCTTCGGTGGACCTCCCTCAGGGAGCACGAAGCGCTGTAGTGGGTGGGGCGGACGCATGCGAATGCCGCCACGGAGCTCTCGGGGGCGCTCTCTTTGGGGACACGACGCGCTGTACTGAGTGGGACAAGCGCATGCGAAAGTCGCCACAGGGACGTCCAGTTGAGCTTTGCATGGGGCCACGGAGCGCTGCACTGGGTGGGGCGAACGCGTGCGAACATCGCCAGTGGGGCCTTCAGTGGGGTTCCCAATGGACCCACGAAGCGCTGCTCTGGGCGGGGCGGGCGCATACGAACGTCACCACGGGGGCCTTCGGTCGAGCTCTGCATGCGCTCCCGAAGCGCTGTAGTGGTCGGGGAGGACGCATGCGAATGTCGCCGCTGGGGTTTTCGGTGGGGCCCCCAATTAGCCACGCAGCGCTGTAGTGGGCAGGGCAGACGCATGCGAACTTCGCCACTGGGGCCTTCGGTTGGGCTCTCTATAGGGCCGCGAAG